TTAAAAAAAAAAAAAAAAAAAGAATAGGAGCTGGAGAGATGGTTCAGTGGTTAAGAGCACTGGCTGCTCTTCCAGAGGATCTGGGTTCAATTCCCAGAACTCACATGGCAGCTCACACCTGTCTGTAACTCCAGTTCTAAGACTTCTGACATTCTGTGTAACACAGACATACATGCAGGCAAAACACCAATGAACATAAAATAAAAATAATAATGAAGAAGAATGATGAAAACAGGTAAGACACACTGAATTCTTTTCATAAATTATTTATTTATTTATTTATTAAGGCAGGGTCTCACTGTAGACCAGGTTGGCCTTGAACTCAAGAGATCCATCAGTCTCTGCCTCCTAGGTGCTGAGATTAAAGTTGTGCACCATCACACTTGGCCCACAATGAACTCATAATATGTGCAAGACATCATTCTAAATGCTTTGCATACATTAACCCATAAAATACTAGGTAGGTACTCTTATAATCCCTATTTTACTGAGCCTAATATATAACTTGCCTAGGGTCACACAGGAAATAACAGTCAGATTTCAAATACTGACACAATGGCCCCAGGGTTCCCACCTTCAACAATCCCAAAGAGAATTATTACAATCAAGTCCTTAGCCAGGCCATGGTGGCGCATGCCTTTAATCCCACACTCAGGAGGCAGAGGCAGGTGGATCTCTGTGAGTTTGGGGCCAGCTTGGTCCACAAATCAAGTTCCAGGGCAGCCAGAACTGTTACGCAGGGGGTGGGGTGAGAGATCAAGTCCTTTAAGTTCCTGAAGTTAGGACTCATGTTCACAAGGCCCTCAGAGCCCAATAGGTACTCAAAAACACTCTTATTCCCTGAATGAACACAAATACCCTTGAACTTACCTCTCCTATTCCCACTGCTTCTAATCCTCTGACGTCAAAGCCAACTGCCCAGCCATTACCTTTCACACTTGAGTATACAGATAGAGCCTATAAACTATAGCCAATCAACTAAACTGATGAAGCTTTTCTGCCAGATTTCCTATAACCCAGTCTCTCTCCATCAACTAAAGGTTTTGTTCCTATTATTCCTCACTTAGAGTCATAAAATTACAAACTTCAAGGACATCTCTTTCACAGACAAATAAACTCAAAGATGGCAGCTGGATTCTCACTTCCATAATCCCAGCATTTGAGTCTGAGGGAGGAGGAGGACTGCAAGTCTGAGGGTGGCCTGAACTAAACAGAGTGGACACGTGTGCATGCTGGCACACCTCTTTAATCCCAGCACTCAGGAGGCAGAAGCAGGCCAATCTCTGTCAGTCTGAGGGGCACCTGGTCTACACAGTGAGGTCCAGGCCAGCCAGGGTTGTACAGTTAGACTCTGTATCACAAAAAAAAAAAAAAAAAAAAAGGAAGAGGAAAATCCAAATAACTACTCTTGCAATTTTGCTCTCCTGTCTCCTATTTCATCCATGACTTCCCATTTTCCAGTTGTCTTCAGCCTAGCCTGCTCTTTTCCAACTCCACAGGTCTAAACCTTGTCCATCCTTCATGACTTCTTCCTTCTTACAGACCAAAGGAGAAGGAAGGGGTCACTGCTGCCCACTGGGCCACACTTAGGTAATCCATAAAGCAAAGCTATGTGGATTTCTTCCTGAAAACTGTTAACCCTTTCCCCTGTTTTAGTATTTTAATAAACACTATATGAATAGCACCTGCATATACATCCATACACCTTGAAGAGCTGCTCCAGCACTTCTTTAATAGTGAGCATGGAAAACTAAAATGCCCCAAATCACCCACCTCCTCCATTAAGAAACAACTCTGGAGCCGGAGACATGGCTCAGTGGTTAAGAGCACCCACTGCTCCCCCAGAGGACCTGGGTTCAATTACCAGCACCCACATGGCAGCTCACCACCATCTAGTTCCAAGAATAGACCTGATGCCTTCCTTCTGGCCTCTCTGGGCATCAGGGATGCATATGGCACACAAGACATACGTGCTGCAAAACACCTGTACAAATAAAAATTTTAACTGCTTTTTAAAAATTAAAAAAGGAAAAGGGAAACAAAGGTCCAAATGAAGAACTCAGACGCAACTTGACCGATAGCTATAAATCTATAGCTGGGATCATCTTTTTGCATACTACCATCTATCATCATTTCCTTTGAAAGGCCCTTTCTCGTGACTAGTTTACACTTCTTTGAGACAGGATTTCTCAATGTAGTTTTGTGCCTTTCTTGGAACTCACTTTGTAGACCAGGCTGGCCTCGAACTCAAAGAGATCCACCTGGCTCTGCCTCCCCAGTGCTGGGACTAAAGGCATGAGCCACCACCACCACCACCACCGCCACCCGACTAGTTTACACTTCTTATCCTTCCCTTCCCCAAACTATGTGGTGTGGGACACTGTATATTCTTTATTTTGCTTTCTACATGTATTGTCAGTGAAACCGTAGTTTGCTACTTCTCGTCCAGTTTATACGAGCCAGTCTTTTCTATAGAACTCACATCTACATCACCAGCCTTTTGAGGGTATGAGGATATCTTCTGCTTTTTTCCCCTTCTCTATTCTGCCCTGCTTTTTCCCCCTTCTCTATTCTGCCCTGATTTTTTCCCTCCTTCTTTATTCTGCCCTCCTCTAGAAAAGTGCTCTCAAAAATGGTCAACAACACTATAGAGGAACAAAAGAATCCACTTGGCTTCAGAGGGAAAAAAATTAATATATTGGGGGGGGGGAGCTGCTGGGGCTTGAACCCGGGGTCTCAGTCATGCTGTGTGCACTGCCACTGATTTACAGAGCACCTTTTCTTATACTCTATTTCTGTTTGCTAATTACATTGGAACAGTAGCTCGTGTATATAATAAAGACACATGAATTAATAGTGTGTGCGCTCAAAATCTGTATTTATTAGGAGTTTAGAGACACTGGACCGACAAGATGGCTCAGTAAGTAAAGGCACTTGCCTCCAAGCCTGGTGATGAGTTCAATACCTGGAACCCACATGGTGGAGATAGAGAAATGATTCCCCGAGTTGTCTTCTGAGCTCTGCATACATGCGCCCGCAACACATACACTCACACGCAAAATAAGTGTAATTTTAAATAGTTTAGAGCCAGCTCTTCTGAAAACTGTATGAGACGGCGTAAGTTCCAGACTACCTGGAGCACCTATGCATATATGTACACACAACTGCGGTTCAAAGAAAAACTCACATTCATATCCACATGGAAGCCCTAACCATACCCACCCATCTACAGCCCCGCCAGCCATCTCAGAATCCTGTGTCCGACTCAGATACACAGAACAGGGTGGTTTGGCAAAGCCCTTCCTTTTTAGTTTAGGGAAAATACTCTGGTGAAAGTAAAGAGATGCTTAAAAAGGGTTCACGGTTGACCATGCTAACACTGCTCACTGCCTGATTTAACGAAGCACACGCGGAATATGCCACGATCTCTTAAGATGCAGTACCTATTTCCCAATTCCTCAGGGCACGACTCGTTCCCGTCGTTAACAACCGGTTTATCCTCCCACCTCCTGAACCTGAGCTCGTACCTGCCTTCATCCTTCCCTCCCTAGGGGTACCATCCCTTGTTCCACAGTCGTGCCCCCGTCCCCCCCACCCCCGCCACCGTCCTGTCCCAGGACAGCAGACAGTCTGTCTAGCTTGGGTCCCTAAGACCCCTGCCTGCTCTCTCTGCCGCCGCCGCCGCCGCCCCCAGACGCTGCCAGCCAGGCTGGAGAGCCGAGCCGGGGCGGGGGGAGGGGTGTGCCTCGCCTCCCCGTGACTGGCCCAGATGGCAGCGGATTCCGCCCCCACTCGCGGGCACCCCTCCAGCCCTCGCCCCCCGAGGGCTGCCCGTCCGCCTCGCACCTCGCCCCGACCCCACCCCACCCCTGGCCTCCCCGTCACGTCCTCCGCCGGCTCCGGACACACTCACCGTGCTGGGTGAAGACGTTGAAGCCGGTGTCTGCGGTACGCCCCGCCGGGTCCCGCCTGCGGCCCGAGGGCCTGGCTGCGCTGCTGCCCCGGATCCCGCGCGGCTGCGGCTGCTGGAGCCCGGGAGCCTCCCCGACGCGGCCCACCTGCTGCCCCATCCCGCCGCTCGCGTACTCCCGCGCCCCCGCCGACCCCTGCTCACATTCCTCCTCCGCTCCGGCCTCGGAGCTCCTGGCACCGCTCCGGCCTCTCCAGCCCAAGCCCAGGCCGCCCCCAGGCCCGAGTCGCCGGCGGCTCCGCACGCGGACTCCTTACAGCCGCCGCCGCGCTGCCTCCCAGCGTCTCACAGACTCTCCTTCTCCCTCCCCCTGCGGCGGCTCCGCGCCCCAGCCGCCGCCGCCATCTTTAAACCACCGAGCACAGGGCGAGCGTGGGACAGAGCGTCTCCCGCCCCCCTCTCTCTCTCTCGCCCAAGCACCTCCGCTACTCGGAGGGCGGAGCTCCAGGTGGCCCCGCCCCGCGCCGCGCCCCGCTGGGTGGAGGCCGGGGCCCACCGATCCACCGAAGCTTTAGGGTGGGGGGCCCTCGGGTGCTTCCCTGTGCCGGGGCTCCGGGTCCGAACCTTGCGGGTGCGGACGTTCACCCACGTTCGGCTCCACACACCACCCCGCCTTGGGGGAGTGTGGGCCCCCAATCTTCCCTGTCCCACCTCCACCTGTCAAGTCAGAGGAGGCTGAGCACCCACCACGTGCGCAGCTCAGCTGCAAACAGCTGAGGCTCTGAATCCCTGTGCTTCGCTGCCATTAAGTTGAGGAGTCCTTCACATACACTTAGCAGCTGGCCTAGAGGGAAGTTTGAAATGGGACAGAATTCATCGGGCGATGGTAAAGGGCAGGTTTAACTTAATTTTAATTTGGGGGCTTATTTCTTGATGTTAAATTGCCTTCGCCTAGGTTGCGTGCACTTTGCGGTGTTGTTGGCAAAGCAGCTGTAGCCCACTTCCTCATTCTCCCATGGATTGCTCTCGAACTCTTCTGCCATCTAACCGCATGTGTTTCTATTGGCTTTAAAACGCTTGACAGTAAAGCTAATCTCCCCACGGACATGTTTTCCTCACTGTGCACGAGGTCGGGCCCTCCTTTGTTGACAAGGAAAAAAATACCACTTTGACCTCGTTTCTGAGTCAGAACTTACTCATCTTTAGCTTCTGTTGTCTAAATAGTGACCCGGGCGGAAGAGACGTGATTTTTATTGACACAAACCCGGTGTGCAATTGTCTCGACATCCCACCCCCACTGGGTTCGTTCATCTGAAGGCTGAGCCGGTTGTTTTTTTAATCCTCGAAGACTCCATGATGCTTATTTCCTGCTATTCCTTTGACTTCCTTGTTAGTTGTGTTTTTAAAAGGCTCGGTTGCTGGACATACCACTTGAAATTTTGCTTTTGAATAAGGACTGGAGCCATTGCGTAGGAGGGGAAAACAACCACAAGGAAGGGAAGAGTTAGCAAAACAGGTTTCCTTTCTTTTGTAGAACCACACATGATCAAAAGTGTGTGTTGGTGCGACTCAAACTCAGGGCCTGGAGTTCCAGGGAAGTGCTCTACCACTGAGCTGATTTCAATATAGATGTTCACTATTATAAGAGCCTTAGGGGCTGGGGAAAGATGGGTTAGTGTCCAAAAAAGTACTTGCCCTGCAAGCCTGACCACCTGGACTTGGAGGCCCAGAACTCGCACAAAAAGCTACTAGTCATAGTGAAAAGCCAGATGCGCTAGCCCAAGCTCTGTGATCCCAGTGTGTCTACAAGGAGAAGAGAGGGTGTCCAGAAGCCCACAGGCCAGCTAGCCAGGCTTACATGTGCAGTGGCTAAAGGAGCCTGTCTTAAACCAAGTGCAAAAGGTAAGAACTGACAGTGAGAGTTGTCCTGTGACCTACACATACGCGCACGCACGCACGCACGCACGCACGCACGCACGCACACAAGCAAGCAAAAAACACTATTAAATTCCATTGCCATCCAAGGTGTGGCCAGATACAACTGAATTTAGTTCCCATAGCAAAGAAAGCACTACACCTTAGTACTGAATAGAACATGAATTTTCATTTATATCAAAGATTTCCTATATTTAAAAATTTTTTTTCTTCTGGGAGTCATGTTGTATCCCTGCCATTCTAACAGTCCAGAGGAAGGAGGATCACAAGTTCAAGGTCAGAGTAACTGCATAGTAAGATCCTGTCTCAAACATCAAAAATCACACACACACACACACATACACACACAAACACACCATGCTGTGGTGTTTACTTGAATTCCTGTATGGTATACCCAACTGCTAAGAAAGCTGAGGCAGGGAGATCACTTGAGTCCATGATTTGAATAAGAGCAGCCTGTATGACAGCAAAATGTTGTCTCAAAATATGTTTTTTTTCTTTTAAGTCACAAAATGGAAGCAGCTACTGAAAAAAATGAATTCACAAAGCATAAAGATGATCATAGAAATCGAATTTGTTTTACTGTTTAGTTTTCATTTACCCAGGGAATCTCAATTTGGTGACAACAGTCTGGTTTCTCTGCTAATTCATGAATGATGGACAGTAATTGCTGTGTAGAACAGTGCTGTGGTTAAGGGCAGGGACTCTGAAATTAGAAGGCTTAGACTCAAAACTTGGCTCTGGCGGGACGAGGGTGTGTGCCTGTAACCCCAGCGACTCTGAAGGTTGAGACCGGAGATCAAGCCAGCCTGGGCTAGATAGTGAAACCTTGCAAAACAAGCAAGCAGAAAAAGGAGGGAGGAGAGGATGAAGGAGGGAGGACTGGAGGAGAAGAAGAGTGGTGTAAAAAACAAAAACAAAAACAAGTCTTGCCAACCATGACACAGCACTCAGGCAGAGGCAGGTGGATCTCTGTGAGTTCAAAGCCAGCTTGGACTACATAGTGAATTTCAATATAGCCAGAGCTACATAAAAAGACCCTGTCTTATTAAAAAAAAAAGTCTCATCTAATATATACTATTAGTACAAAAAATATGAGACAAAGGAAGAAGAATCAGAAGTTCAAGGCAAACCTCAGGTATGTGAGACCTTGTCTCGCACAAACAAAAATAAGTAATACAAAAGCAATAACAAAATAATGCTTGTAGATTCCATTTACATATAGATTCTCCAAACATTAATTCTGTGTGTTCCTTTTTGGCTACTTGTTTTGTTTTGGTTTTGGTTTTTTTTGAGACAGGGTTTCTCTGTGTAGCTTTGGAGTATGTCCTGGAACTTGATCTGTAGACCAGGCTGGCCTCAAACTCACAGAGATCTGCAGGGCTCTGCCTCCTGAGTGCTGGGATTAAAGGTGTGCACCACCACTGCCTGGCTTTGGCTATTTTTTTAAATATGATTTTTTTTGTTACTTGAGCTTTTCATATGTGTACACAACATATTTTGATCATCTCACTTCTCTCCTCTTCAGCTCTTCCTGTCCCTGAGTGTGGACAACCAATCTATCGATGGGCATGTCCCCAAAGAAACACTACTCTCCCTCCACAGCAGCCTCCAACTATTAAGAACTTCTCAGTAGAAGTGAGGCCTTATGAGAGCACCCCTCTATCCATGCTGGAATTTGACTGGCTTGGTCTTATACAGGTCTTGTGGTGATAAGTACAGGTGCCGGGAGCCCATAAGTGCAATGGCCATGTTATGTCCAGATGTGACCAAGGTTAAGAGCAGCCCGAATCTGTGGGTATAAATATAAATATTTAGAAGGTGATTTGACAAGCTTACCACTAAGCAAAACAATAGTAATAGTTCATAATAGTAATAGTTCCCCATTAGGGCCTGTGAACTTCTTCTCAGCCATGGGCTTTTAACAAGATTAACAGTACCAGGCATAAGTTCCTTCCTGTGGAATGGGCCTCAAATCCAATTTTTAAAAGATCACTTGAATAACCCCATAATAGTTATGTAGCACGAATCTTAGAAGGTCTTATTAATAAAAGCAAACCCGGAGCCAGGTATTGGGGTGAATGCTGGAAGATCAGAGAAGCAGAACAAGCCACAGCCAACCTCACTTGACCAATTCCTCAGCTGATCTCGTTTCCTCAGACTGGAAGCCTCTGAGTCTTCATCCAAAATGGATCTCAAGTGAACTGCTGCTCAAAAGCCTAAAAGCTTAACCAGGCTCTAGTTCCTGGTCCTCACGCCCTAAACACCTTTCTGCTTCCTGTCATCACTTCCTGGGATTAAAGGTTCTTGTTACCACACCTGGCTGTTTCCAGTGTGGCTTTGAACTCACAGAGATCTGCATGGATCTCTGCCTCTGGAATGCTAGGACTAAAGGCGTGTGTGCCACCACCTCTATATCTAGTGGCTGTTCTGTTCTCTGACCCCCCAGATAAGTTTATTGGGGTGCACAATATATTGGGGAACACACCACCACCACACAGTTATGCTACTATTGCACCAGTAGGCACAACTTGCCTGATAAGTCAGTGTTGTAACACTCAGGGTCCAGCAATGGGTAAGACCACTGCTCTAGTGGTCTGCGTAACAAACATCTTTCAGTACTGTGAAAGCTAGCCTGCGGGGAGGAAGTTTCCTGTCCAATTCCAGATGGAATTCTCTATGTCCTACAACCCGAGTGCATGGTGACTTCAGCTATAGGGTCATAGTATCTAGTAATGGTGGGTGATTAAAAGTAATAGTAGGGCTTAGTGAGATGTTCCAGCAGCTAAGGGCTCTTGCTACCAAGTTTAGTTGTTGTAGAATAGTATTTTAAGGTGTGTTACATTTGTTTATGCTGAGGAACATTTGTTTTAATGATACAAAGACGTGTTGCATTCTTTTATGTTGCATTTGCTTAACTCCGTGAAGCTGTGTTACTTTGCCTGCCCGAAACACCTGATTGGTCTAATAAAGAGCTGAACGGCCAATAGCAAGGCAGGAGAAAGGATATGCGGGACTGGCGGGCAGAAAGGATAAATAGAAGGAGAAACCTGGGAGGAGAGGAAGAAAGAGCAAGAGAAAAAGGAAAGGAGGGTGCTAGGGGCAACCACACCGCCAGCCACGGAGTGAGAGTGAAAGTAAGATATACAGAAGTAAGAAAAGGAAAAAGCCCAGAGGCAAAAGGTAGACGGGGTAATTTAAAGTTAAGAAAGCTGGCAAGAAACAATCCAAGCTAAGGCTGGCATTTATAATTAAGAATAAGCCTCCATGTGTGATTTTTTTGGGAGCTGCGTGGTGGGCCCCAAAAAGACCAAAGAGCTAAAGAGCCAAAAGAGTAAAAAGTAAAAACAAACAAACAAACAAACAAAAATCAACCAACAACACTTAGTAATCTGAGTTTGATCCCTGGGACTCACATGGAAAGAGAGACAACACCCTCAAATTGTCCTTTGACCTCTACATGTGCCCCATGACATGTTCACACACACAATGAATAAATAAGTAAATATTAAAACAAAAACAAAAACAAAAAACCCAGCTCCTGGTCAAGAGAGTTAATTTTTAAAAAAAAAAAAAGGCGGGGTGGGGGATGAGGGGTGGATAGCAATTGCCTATGTGAGGAGTTTCAAGGGGCTCCGAGACCAGTTACTTGTAGGGAAGTGTGTCAATGCCTGGCACTGAGATTTTCACTTACTAGTCCATGTCTTATGAGAGAAGCCTCGTTCACCCATGCAGAGAACTGTGTTCAAACTCTTACTATTTATTTATTGGATAGGGTTTCACTATGTAGACTTGGCTGTCCTGGAATTTGCTATGTAGATCAAGCCGGACTCAAACTCACAGAGAATTCGGCCTCTGCCTGCCCAGTACTGAGATTAAAGGCAAGCAAACCACACCCCGCTTTATCAGGTTTGTGAATTAGCTTACAAAGCAGTGGGTTTCCATAAGGATTTCTCATCCAGCTTTAGCTTTGTCTAACCCACCCGCTTTCCTCCCCCACTCTCCTGCCCCATCATCCCTTTCACTTTCAACTCCCAGCATCCCCCTCCCCGCTTCTTACATACGTGCTCCACCACCTCTTCCCCATTACAGCCTGCTCCTCTCCCCGTCTCACCGGCTCTTGCTGGCTTCCTGTCTCCTCCATTCTCTGGTTTTGAGACATGGTCTCTTCTCTCCAGCCCAGGCTGACCTCCAACTCACGGTACTCCTCAGCCTCCCAAGTGCTGTGATTCCAGTCATCGCCGTTCTGTTGTTTTTTTTTTTTTTGTTTGTTTGTTTGTTTGTTTAAGGCAGGGCCTCGTAGGAAGCACTGGTTGGCCTGGGAGTCTCCATTCTCCTGCTTACCTCAGCCTCCCAGCTGCTGGGATTTCCAGATGTGTGCTGCCATGCCTGCCCCCGTCGATCCCTAAGATCCTGTTTGAACCAATGCAAATATTCTCTAAGTGGAGACTTAGGACACATCCGTGATCTTGCAGTGTTTTCTCCTCTTCTGTTTCCAGAATGAAAGGAGAGCTTTGAGAATTCAGAATGGAAGGCTGGGAATAGACTAGGGAGGGACTGGTTAACTAAGTGAAGAAAAAAATAACCTCACACAGTTTATTATGCTAATCAGGGGATACATCAGCGTTCCACATTTAAAACAATTCCGAGCGTCATCTCTACCTGAACTGAAGGAGGCTGGGAGTTTTAGACAGTAACTGGGCAAAGAAGGTAACAGACTTAGAGGTAGGCATAGGCTCATAGTCCAGTGGTAGAGTGCTCACCTGTTATGTGCAAGCCCCTGGATATGATCGCAGAAAAGGTGCAGAGGGGAAGGGGGCAGAGAGGAGAGGAAGAGGATGGGCACGCAGGCATGGTGCACAGAGGCTCAGAAGAGCCTTAGCTGAAAGCCTTGCTGCTCAGCACCCTTGCCATCCTTATCACAGAGCCTCAGCACTTTGCAAAAGCAGGGAACTGCTGAGCCGGGCCTCCCTGACCCCTCACCTCACGGGTCTACATTTCCAAGCTCTTGTTACAGTGATGGTTTCCATAGGAGCTCCCAGATTCTCCTTTTCTTTACGTCTAGATGGACAGACAGTGTTGTCAATGCAAATCACAGCTCTCACTTCAGAAGGAAGCCAGTGATGAGTGACTGTGGCCCAGCAACATAGATTCAGGTTGCCCCAAATAACATGTTTAATGTGGAAGTGGTTTCATGAAGTCTTCCTATTACAGAACACAGAAAATCATAGTTCAAGGCACTTTAAAAGTATGTTGACAGAAACATCATGTAGGCAGGTTATAGTAAAATGGGAATCTCTCTGCTATAGCTTTCAGATGCTAACGGATGATATTCTTAGCTGGAGGGGGGCAGATGAGGAGGGGTAGGACACACAATTAGTAGTCAGCTAAGTTAGTACATCCCGAAAGGTTTTGCCTGATAGTCACAGAGATGTAGATCAGGGGCTGGAGAGATGGCTCACTGACTGCTTGTCCGGAGGACCCTGGCTCAATTCTCAGCACCCACAGAGAGACTCACAACCCTCTGTAACTCCAATTCCAGGGTACCCAATGCCCTGTTTTGACCTCTTTGGGCACCAAGCGCCCATGCAATGGTGGCACATGCCTCTTTAATCCCAGCACTGGGGAGGCAGAGGCAGGTAGATCTCTGAGTTCAAAGCCAGCGTGGTCTACAGAGCAAGCCCAGGACAGCCAGTGCTACACAGAGAAACCCTGTCTCCAATAAATAAATATATATATAAACAAACTTTATTCCTCGTTGCTTAGTCTATACTCTTTCTCCCCTTTGTTATATAAAAAGTCTACAATTTCATAGACTGTTTCAAAGTTGTTTTCCAAGATCTTTGGGTTATAGTCACCTAACAGTCTTCAGGTTCTGGTCTGCCCACCTCGACCTTGCCTACAGTAGGCACACATGCTTTATCCAGTCATCCTAATTCTGGCATGTCTCCTCTGAACTAAGACTTTGTCATAATTCTCCCAGTACGGTCCTGAGTGCCCCTCCCTTTATAGTACTCAAGAGACTGCAGATCCTGCTTCCACCGTAAGAGAGCCTCAGAAGTCAACAGAGACCTAAGGGTTTCCTGGGAAATACAACGGCTGACGATTCTTTGCCTATAAATTAACTTGCTTTCATCTGCATCTTCCAACTATGATTAATTCCTTATTTGAGAACTTCATATATGGATATTATGTGTTTTAGTCAAATCCATCTCCCAATATGTTTAATATGTGGTATACAGCCCAGTGTCATAGTGTTTGAGACAGGGTTGGAGGTCATCTAGGTTAGTCTGGAATCTCTCCTATAGTAATTCCAGCGAGGGGATCTATTTATTTTGAAGGACTATGGTTATCTAACAACTTGGTTGGTAGAGTGCTTGCCTGGTGTAAACAAAGCCCTGGGTTCACATAAACCAAGTGTTGCATGTACCTGGAATCTCAGCACCAAGGAGGTAGAGGCAGAAAAATAAGGAGTTTAGGGTCATCTTCTGCTATATGAGTTCAAGACCAGCATGGGCTACAATAGAGCCTGTCTTAAGAAGAGAAGAGGGGAGCCCACTTGCAGCTTCTACTTCTTCACTCCTGGTCCCAGTTCTACCCTCCAGCTGCATAGAGCAAATCTTGGTCTTTCTTCTACATGACAGTCCTTGAAACTCTGGGGAGCTGTCTTGAATTTCCCAATCTCTTTTTCATTACATACATGCATATGCTGGTATGTTTAGCTGTTTATGATATGTTTTGTGTGTGTTTCTTCTTTAGAAAAATAACATTTTCTTTTTTTTTACTTCTGTTTATGTGTAAGTGTGTATCTGTGTGGGTATGTGTGCATGAGTATAGGTGCCCACAGATGCCAGAAGAGAGCTTCAGATAGATGCCTTGAGGCTGGAATTACAGGCAGGTGTAAGCCACCTGGTGTGGGTGCTGGGACGTGAACTCCTGTCCCCCGGAAGAGTAGTGTGCACTCTTAACTGCTGAGCCATCTCTCCAGCCCTCTGCTTATATTCATCTACCATGTTCTGAAAACATTTGTGTAGACAAACGGACCGCGGCAAACGCTGTCATTGTAAGTAGAGTATTTCTCTGAAGCTGTCTTCTCATGCGGGCCTTTGGATTTTAGCTGTGCCTTCACTGCAATGTTGTATTCAATCTTGAAAGGCCTATAGAAGGCCAAATGCAGTCCCGCTTCTGGATCAATACTTCATAAAAGTTGTTTGACAATAACGAGGGGGGAGCAGAGAAGGAAGAAGAGGGGGAATTTTCTCGGGCTGAGAGAGAATCAGCCCTTCTCTTTGAAGGTGGAGGGATGGGGTGAGTGACCTCCTGTTGTTTCTTTTAGCCCCAAGAGTCTCTCATTCAATATTTCTCTGATTAAAAAACCTTATAAATTATTAAGAGACTGTTTCAAACAATTGGCAAAGTGCTACACAGATGTTACCAATAGCACTGTCTATTCATTTTAAATTAATAAATTAGTACTCACTTCCCTCTCAATGGTAATAATGAAAGAGCTGACTAACCAATCCATTTTACATGGGACGTATCATCAAGGGCAGTATAATGGGCTCAGGCCTGGGCTGGAATTTCTGTGAAGTGGGGTTGTTTCAGTGACCCTTTGTTGCATAACAAGCCATCTGTGGGGAAAAAAAAAAAGCTTAAAACAACAATGATTCATTGGGAATGGCACCCACATCTCTAATCCCAGCACTTGGGAGGTAGAGATAGGAGGATCAGGAATTCAAGGTCATCCCCAGCACAAAAGTGAGTTCAAAGCCAGCCCGAGCTACATGCAACCCTGCTTTAAAAAACAAAACAACAACAACCAGCCACTGACTTATGGCTTTGTGTTATCCTGCCGATTGGCTAGACAGCTCTGGTATCTAACCTCGGTTATTTCTGGGCGATCTTGCTGGAGGGTCAGCTGAGCCGAAGGGGATACGATGGTTTCACTCACATGTCTGGCAACCAATGCTGCTACCAGTCGAAGATTCAGAGCTCTCTTCTCTAAGGCTTCTTGCTCTAATCTGAATTATGCCCTCCCTCTATTCGGATATTGAGGTCCTGACCTAGTACCCCACACTGGCTTAGAGTCACCATATAGCCCAGGCTAGCCTAGAATTGACACCAATACTCTTGTCGCAATCCTCCTGGTGCTAGATGCTCTGTCCTACAGAG